CACTTTTTGTTCTTTCTTCTTTTCTGCCCCACGTTAGGCTGGTCTCTTCAGTGCAGGCTGTGCTGGCCACCGGGTCAGGGATCATCATTATCCGCTCCTGCAAAGACGTGGTCACCGACAGGTAACATTGAATGCCAGGTGAAAGGAGCACAAATAACAGGCCTGAGAAACTTTTTCGAAGGTCCTATATTTAGTGTCTCACAGGCACTGGTTCTTTATCAGCACATGCTGTTAGGTAGCTGATTTGTGGGAAAAACTTGAACACCATAATCACCCCCTTCCTCCTCTCCTTACCTCTTTCAGCATCCCCAGCTTGGGAGAAGGTAAACTGAAAGTAAACTGAAGAAATGCTAGAGAATAACATTCTGAGTCTGATTCAAAGTGACAGGTTAGAGGACAGTGTGGTCCACTGATGGAAGTGCTTTGTGAGATAGGTAAGCGTGAAAATCATTCAGAAGTGGGTGTGTGGCTTTTGGTTCCTTTAAGTGATCTCACTGGGTTCCCACTCTTCAGGATTCTTTGGCCAAGATCTGTCCAGTGTGGTTACTAGTGCATTTCTGTTGAAAAGAACAAAACCACCACCACCCTCCAGTCCCCCTTCCTCCCTAAGGCTGCTCTTTCTTTTGAATTTGGTAAAGGTGATGAAGAGGTTTCTGGTACATTCAGAAAACTGACTTGTATGTGTGTTAGTCCTCAGCCCAGAGGCAGGTCAGGAAATGTGCATTCGCCTGCGGTTTCACTGAAACAAATCATAAATTAAGACCAGGATGGTCTGCTTTGTATATAGACCTGGGCAATGATGGTGGTCTTTTCTTTCAAGCCATTTTTTTTTTAAAATCTATCTTCCTAGAACCACTCTCACTTTCTCCCAGTTAAGTTGGAGAGCAACAGTCACATGGGCAGAGAAAGTTTAACAGCCTTTCCCTGATGCTTTCCTGATGCAGACTCTGCTGAGTATCCTGCTTGTTATCTGTTGGCACTGGAATGCCAGGGGAGCTTGAGTAGGGCATCTGTCTCACTGAAGCCTGCACATTTGGTTCCTGGATCTTACTTGAGATTAACCCTGTTGTCTGGCATTTGTGCCCTTTTGGTGCTATGCCTCTTTTCAGACAAAACCAGTTATTGGCGATGAATTGTAGATGCTGAAAGAAGATACATCAAGTGACCTTGGATGTATACACCAAAGACTAACAGCATTTGCTTGACAGGTGTCTTAGTTATCTAGTGCTGCTGTAACAAATACCATAAGTGGATGACTTTAACAAAGAGAAATTTATTCCCTCACAGGCTAGTAGGCTACACATCCAAATTCAGGGCATCAGCTCCAGGGGAAGGCTTTCTCTCTCTGTCGGCTCTGGAGGAAGGTCCTTGTGATGCATCAGCCTTCCCATGGTCTAGGAACATCTCAGCACAGGAACCTCAGGTCCAAAGGACACACTCTGCTCCTGGCACTGCTTT